TCCGAAAAAAGCCTTCCTCTTTTTACCCAGGAAAAGGGATTGGGATACAAGCCTATAAAATAATTTTATATTCTCGAGTTTTCTCTATTGCATCACCGAAGCCAAAAAATCGTCTTTTGATAAAACCACCTGTAAGTTCTCAGTGTCGAACTTTTTAATAATTGTCGGGCTTTGTGATAACACTTGTCGCATTTTGTGATAAAAAAAGCTGTTGCGTCTGACGTTTAATCTCTTTGAAATGCAAATCAAGTAATCGAACTAAAATGGAGAAAAGTTTTTTGCGTCAGGAAATTGTGTGGTAGAATTTAATAAATACTTGCATGAACATGTTACCGAATCAGTCCCTCCGGCGAAGTCAATGATATTTCAGTTTCGACGAATAGCTTCATCTTTCTTGATCAATAGATGGTAATGGTTTTTATTCGTGCAGATGGACAGATGGGACACTCGCATTAACATCCGGTGGGCAAGATGGCTTTTGCGACTAACCGTTGAAGTTTGGCCATTTTATGGCATACGTTTAACTGATTTTTGTTTTCCATCCCGTTAAAAGGAAAAATCTTTAGTTTGAACATTTTTGTTCGACTTATGGCTAAAATAGATCAATTTTCTTATGCCTGACGGCTAATCTTTTTTGCTATTTCACAGCCAACGGTTAATTATAATGTGACTCTGCTAATTAATTAGACAAATACTGTTTTAAGCGAGGCTCAAGAATTAGTTTTTAAAATAAATAAAAGCTTATTTTACTGACTCACAATAATCTGCCGTGCTATTACGAGCTTTTTCATATCGTGTTTTTCCTAGTCGTTACTGCGTAAAACGGCACTCTGCACCTGGTGAAAACAATCTGATTGGTCCGTTTATGACGGAAAAAATACAGTTTAAATACACTCACGTCATAAAAAAAAAGTGATGGAGTCTTGTTATGTCTATTAACCTGTACCTCCTGCAAATGTGTTTGAAATTCGTTTAAAAACTTACCGCAGAAGGATTGCGAACCAAGTCACGAGCCGTTGGAAACTTATGCGTGTCTTAAACCTGAAAAATTGGGTGGTGAATAAGAATTAATCTGGTAAAATGTTCACAGCCCTGTCTATAAGTTGTGTCCTGAGTGAGTACAAGCTTTGCTACATTTCTTGGTTAACCTTTAAGCAGGTAGCGACTGATTTGGTAAAGATGTCTCAGTATTAGAATATCCCACAGCCCGGCCTCAGCCAAAATGAACTACAAAAGCAATAGTTAGGAGGGTCTGTTTTAACTTATTGATAATTTAACAAATTCACTTGAGGAACGTCTGCTTAGTTTTATCATGGAAGATAAATGAGTTGATAAATGAATAAATGAATAAAACTTTTGGAGGAGAAGTGTGTGACGATTTTTTGGAATGGTACTTTAGTCTCAATGCAACATTGGTTAAGAAAGAATTAAACTATAGAAAGGCAATTTTATCGGTTTTAAATTATTATTCATGATTGTTATGTTTTGACGGTCTGTGCAACAGCTTTGGGCAA